CCTTTGATTAGTGAAAATTATGCCACATGGAGTTGAGCTATTACCATGGCCCTTGAAGAAAAGAACAAACTTGGATTTGTTGATAGTACAATCAAAGAACCAGTTGCTTAATCACCTTCCTTCTCCATTTGGAGTCAATGCAATAGTATGGTCCTATCTTGGATCTTGAACGCTATCTCAAAGGACATAGCAAACAATGTGGCTTTCATGAAAATAGCTTGTGCCATTTGGATAGATTTGAGGGATCGGTTTTCATAACACAACACCCATACATATTTGAAATCCAAAGGTCGATTGTAAATCACTCTCAACAAAACAATTCAATCACAACCTATTACATAGCATTAAAAGGATTATAGGATGAGTTAGCAATATATAGTCCATACCCATCATGCACCTATAGCGCCACCTCAGAGATTCATTCACTAGAAGAACAATATCGACTAATGCAATTTCTCATGGGACTTAATGAATCATACAGCAACTTGAGAACCCATATTTTGTTAAAGAATCCTCTACCAATCATCACAAAAGCATTGTCATTGGCTTTGCAAGACAAAAGACAAAGGTCGATTCAAACTATCTCTCCATCTCCACATCTAGAGCAATCAGCCATGGTTGCAACTAATGCACAAGGATTCTTTCAAGGAACCCACCCAAATCAACCAACCAAGAATAGATTTGGAAGGCCCATTTATCATTGTGATTTTTGTGGTATAAATGGACACTCAGAGTCTAGGTGTCGGAAGAAATTAGGAAACTCTCAAAATTTCAATACTTGGCATGATACTCATGTCCAACAAGAATCTAATGTGCCACAACCAAGGCAAAATTGGAATGGTGAATCTCAAAATAAGCAAGTTGCAGCGGTTGTTGACCAAGGGACATCAGGAGCGTATCATAGTGTGCCTTTCACTCAAGAATAGGTTAAGCAGCTTCTTGTCCTCCTTAAACTTCCTCCAATCCTCTACTCAATATGGCAGGTAACATCTCTTATTTTAATGGTCCTTAGGTTGTTGATTCTGATTGTACTACTAATATTACCTATAGTTTAGATTTTTTAAGCAACACTAAAAGCTAAATTGGATTGCTTGCTAAATTACCTAATGGAAGTTTAGTACCTATCACTTATTTTGGTTCTGTTTGTTTCAATTTGGATTTACATCTAGATAATGTTATAAAAGTACCCTCATTCAAGTTTAGTTTGCTTTCCATTAGCAAAATCACAAAATCTCTTAATTGTTCTATCCTTTTTCTACCTAATTTGTGTGTTTTTCAAGACCTAGTGACAAAGAAGGTGATTGGTTTAGCGAAGGAGTGTGATGGACTTTATTATCTCGACACCAAGACCAATGTCTCTCCAACTAGTTCTCTTGCTAACACCAAGACCAACCTTTCTCCAAATATCTCTCTTGTTGCAACTTCACCTCAAATGGATACCTAGCATTGTAGACGTGGACATCCAAGATATAGTACTTCTTCTTCCTTTTATAACTTAGACAATAAAATTTTATTTTCCAATAAATGTCCTTATACTGTGTGTCCACTTGCACAACAAACTCATTTATCATTTTCAAATAGTTCTATCTCAACAAATAATCATTTTGATCTTATTCATTTGGATATTTGGGGTCCTTACTTTACCTTATCGCTTACAGGGGCACATTTCTTCTTAACAATTCTAGATGACTTTTCTCACAACACTTGAGTCTTTTTAATGCAACATAAATCATACACATTTAGTATATTTGAAAATTTTTTCCTTATGGTTTAAACACAGTTTAATACCACCATACATAGAGTTCATAGTGACAATGGTTCTAAATTTTTTAGTCATGCTATTAATGATTTTTTTAACTCTCATGGTGTCATTCATGAACATAGTTGTGTTGCTACACCCCAACAAAATGGGGTAGTGGAACACAAGCATAGACATTTGTTAAATATGGCTAAGGCACTTCGATTTCAATCAAAACTTCCTTTCAAAATTTGGGGCAAATTCATACTCACTGCTACATATCTCATTAATCGAACCCCATCTAAAATACTTAATGGTAATTAAAACACCATTTGAATTACTTCTCCACAAGGCACCAACCTATACTTATTTACTTATTTACGTGTTTTTGGGTGCTTGTGTTTTGGATGTAATGTTCATGTCAAACAAAAATTTGATCATCGTGCCCATCCTAGCATCTTCATTTGCTATCCTTTTGGCCAAAAGGGTTATAAAATTTTTAATCTCCTAAATATATAGTTGTAATGGAATTTTCTTTTAATAAAATTTGATTCATGTTTTTATTAATTTAATTATTAAAAATAATTAATATTTATTACTTAATAAATTAAAATTAATTTATAAATATATATATTTTTATAGATTATAATTAATTATTTTAAAAAATTATAAATTAATAAAATATCAATTAAAATTATATACCTTTAATAATAATGTGTGTGAGAATAATATGTAGCTTTAATAATAATTTATGTAAGAATAACTATGCTTCCAGCCACCCAAAATAATTTATGATAAATTAACAATATGATAACATGAAGCAGGTGATGAAGCAACCCATCTGGATGGGTGCTTTGGCTACCGATAATCAATCATAGAGAGCAACACAGTGAGCTGTGTTTTCCTAGTTTAAGAAAAATGAAAGTGATTAGTACACAATTTGGTTTCACACATTATATAATATACTCATTAAAAAATTATTATTTTTTAGTCTAAAATTAAAGGTAGACAAGTTTAAAAATAGAATCATGCAGATAGGATGCGGAAATTGACTGAATCGACTGTATTTATATTATATTTTTAATGATTAAACTAAAAATGTGTCAAAAAATATGTTGAACCAATGGTGTATAGATCATATTCCTAAGAAAAAATGAAGTCCTTTAATTTCTGAGTTATTTTAAACCCTCTATTGTCTATTATTTTAATGAGCTCTGTATTTTCCATGCGATGCTTATGGTCATGCATGTTTTGTTATGATCAAATAATTTTGCTTGGCCAACCACCTTTTATGCCCAATGGGAAGAATTTAGTGGTGTGATATTTTGATGTTGATTTTTTGACTTTGAGGCAAACCATTAATATTAATTTTTTATCTCTTAAATATATAATTGTAATGTAATTTTTTTATTAAAAAATTTGATTGATGTTTTATTAATTTAGTTATTAAAAATAATTAATAAATAGTAAATATTTATTATTTAATAAAATAAAATCAAATTACATGCATATAATTTTGTATAGGGTTTTGTCTTAGAGGTGTTTATGGTGTGGCTTGATTCAAGTTTGAATATTTTTTAAACCAATCTAATTTAATCATTTAGTAAAATTTTTAAACCAATTCAATCTACTATTATATGATAACCAAATCAATCAAACTTAAATCGGATCGGTGTAGTTTGGTTGACTTGATCGGTTTTTAACACTATTAAATATATAAGATAATGTAAAAAATTTTAACATCAAGTAGAAAATATAATTATAAAACACATTAACATCCAAATTAGTAGAAATATAATAAAAAGCATAAATTATAAACAAATTCTTATACTCCTTTACAATTGAAAAATTGAAAAGATTTGAAAATTCCTTTTAGTTACATCACCAGTGCCTCTAAGGACAATAAAAGATGACTCAAAGTTTCAAATATAGTGCAAGTGATTTTTAAAGGTTAAAATTAGGTTTTTTTTTTTTCTTAATGCACCAAATGATTTAATTCCATCTTCAAAACCTCAACCAAATTTTAACCTTTAAAAATCACATAAATATTACTAAGATTGATTAAAAGCATTCATAATCAAGATTTAAAACTGCTCAACCAAACATCCAAGAATAGTAGAATATTAAGACTAGTTCTATTATATAATTTTAAAATTTCTAGAATGATACTTATTTAGAGATTAGTTAAGAGAATTAGAATATCATTTTAGGAACAAATTAAAAATTTAGAGTTCTAAAAGTAAAGTCGCAAACTAGTTCTGAGAGATATAATTGTGGGTGAATTAGAAATTTATAATTAGAGTTAGAATGCACGATTAAGAAGGAAAAATAAATTAAGAAATATGGAGATGTTTTATTTTTATTTTTAATTAAGTTAATGGGGTAATTATTTTGTAAAATAAGAAAAAAAATTTTAAATACTATAAAAATATATTATATTATTTAATTAAGTTATCTTATAATCAGGTTTTATTTTATAATTAGATGATTCGAACAGTTTGAAGGTAAAACTATAAATTAAACCAATTATATCAATTTAAAAATTTTTTAATCCAAAACAACCAAATTTTTTATAGGTTTGGCTTGGTTTTTTATTAAATCGGGTCAATTTGAGTTAGCCAATCAAATTGAATCAAATATAAACATTCCTAGATTTGTTTAACTTATGTCTTAATGACACATACACATATAATAAATATAATTTTTTTGTAATTAATTTACTTAAAAATTATAAAAATTAATATTTATTTTAATAATATTAACACGTTGATGATTTTAATTAATTAATTAATTTAAAATCAACATTTACTTTTTTTTATATAAATTAATTATAAAAAAAAGTTCATTAATTAGTTACATTCTTTATGGTAAAACTTAAAAAAAATCTTTTGTATCTTATAATTAATTATTTAAAAAATTATAAATTAATAAAATATTAATTAAAATTATGTAACCTTAATAAAAATCCGTGTGAAAGTAACTATAGTTCCAACTTCCAACCAACCAAAATCATTATGACAAATTCAGAATATGATAACATGAAATAGCCTATCGTACATCGGGTAATAAAGCAACTTATCTGTATTGGTGCTTTGGCTACCTATAGTTTCCCGTCAGCTTAAAAAAAAATATAATAATCATGGCATTTTCATTTTATTTATTCATGAACATTAAGCATGTGGAGTGAAGGTAATTAAGTATAATATCATTTGCAGCTTATACATATATATATATACATATATAAGTGATGTGATCCTTTTGTATTTTTTATTCATTTTTGGTTAATTTATATGTTGGAGAATTTTGTTCCCTCAAAATTTCATTAGAGAAATGCAATCTTCCTCTGTTGTCCCTCTGTATACTAGCGTAGTTGAGGGAGGCCACATGGATCTGTTAAGGATGGTTAAGATGGATTTAGTCAATCATGGAGAGCGCAATCGGACCAGTCCTCGGAACAGTCCTCGGAACAGTCTTCGGAGCAATCTTTGGAGCAGATAGATGAGGATGATCAGGATTGGATAAACTTCGAAACCTGCAATGAAGAGGACGTTGGCATTGATGAGGAGCAATTAATGAAGGATGGACATTGGAATTCAAATTCAAATTTCATAAATACAGAGGAAGAAAGGGAGAGGCAGCATACAGATGAAGGAAATGAGGGTAGAGAGGATGTGGGTAGTGGGCCAACCAAAGACATTGGGCCAAAGACAACAAAAGAAATTGGGCTGGGAGAAATTGGACTGAAAGTTGTAGATGGCCGGGGAAGGGACCTTAGCCACGGACAGAAGATGAGGATTAAAAAGAAAGGGCCCGAGGAGACAAATGATGAGGGGATTTTACCGAAAACAAATCTGGATCTGAGGGTACTAGGGAGCAAACGAAGAAGAAAGCTGGAGGAATGTTACCCAGAGAGCTTAGCGAAAAGCTGGGCAAAGAAGATGCAGGAGACAAATGCAAGAGCAAACCAAGGACACAAAGGGAGAGCAGAATCTTCAACAGGGTCAGCGAATAAGGTAAATCTGGTCGTCAGTCGTTCAATTTCTAATGGATGCATTGCAAATAGAAACAGGGAGCTTAGAAGAGAGATGATCTTGCATGAGGTGAGGAAGATGATGAGCGTAAGGAAGAGATTGGGATTTCAAACCCAAGAAAATGAAGGGGAAATCTAGTCTCGGTTAGTGGAGTTGGAAGAGAGGGAGGAGGCAGGGGAACGACAGGGGAAGCGGGTTTAAGGGTACGGTAGCAGTGATTAGGTGAGTGTGGGAGTATTTAGTTGATGAAGTTGATTTCTTTCAATGTTAAGGGCTTGGGTAGTGTGTTGAAGAGGAAAGAGATAGGAAAATTGGTGAGAGAGGAACGGCCAGATTTTCTATTCCTACAAGAGTCTAAGTTAGAAAGGGTGGATGATGATTTGAGTAGAACAATGTGGAATTCGAGAGAGTAGTGTGGCTGGGTAATGAAGGAATCGATAGGAGCATCAGGAGGCTTGTTGTGTTTTTGGAACAAAAAGACTTTTGATAAGACGGGAGATCACACAGGCGATGGTTATCTGAGAATATCAGGGGAGTTGGGAATTTATAAGGTGAAGTGTAACCTAGTGAATGTGTATGGTCCAAATGATAGACAGAAACAACTCAAGTTATGGGATGAGCTAAGGAATATGATCACAAAAGAGGGAGGACCATGGTTGATTGCGGGAGACTTTAATGCTGTAAGATGTCTTGAGGAAAGAAGGGGAAGAACAGGGGAGAGCCTAGATATAAGGGAGTTTGATGCGTTTATTCTATCAGCAAGCTTAATAGATATCAAAATGGTTAATAGGCGCTTTACATGGTACAGCCATGAGTAGACTGGATAGAGTTTTGATGAATGCAGAGATGAGCAGAATGGGAGGAGATTGGGTGCAACAGGGCTTGAAACGGAACATCTCAGATCATTGTGCAATTGTGCTGAAATCAAGAACAACTAACTGGGGACCAAAGCCATTCCGAGTTTTGGATGCATGGTTACTCCATCCAGATTTCAAGAAGATAATCGAGGAGAAATGGAAAGCAATGGAGGTAGATGGGTTTGCAGGGTACAAATGCAAACAGAAGTTAAAGGGGTTAAAAGAGTTTTTAAAAGGATGGAACCAAGAAGTATTTGGAGACATGGAAGCTCAATATGAACAGGCTGTTAAACAGATTGAGCAGGTTGATGTGAAGAATGAGGAGCTTGATCTAGATGAATTTGAAATTCTATAGAGACAAGAAGGATTTTAGAAAATGTGGGACATAATGAGGAAGAGAGATGTGATATGGAAACAGAAGTCAAGAAGCAATTGGGTACACGTGGGAGATGCAAACACGCGATTCTTTCATAGAGTTGCAAATGGTAGAAAGGCCCAAAATCATATCACAGGCTTAATGTGTGATGGAAGCTGGGTGGAAGAACCATCACAGGTTAAGAAGGAGGCGATGAATTATTTTAGCAAGCTATTTCTAGAAGATAAGTGGAATAGACCAAAGCCGTATGGGGTCAATTTTAAGCAAATTTCTACAGAGGAAAATCAATGGCTTGAACGACCATTCTCCACCGAAGAAATTGAGGAAGCATTACGAAGTTGTGAAGGCTCAAAAGCTCCGAGTCCAGACGGGTACAACTTTACCTTCCTTAAATTTGCATGGAATAATTTAAAGGAAGATTTTATGAGCTTTTTTTCTGAATTTAATCAGAATGGTAAATTGGTTAGTGGGCTGAATTCATCTTTCCTAACTTTAATTCCCAAGAAATTTAATTCTGCGGAATTAAAGGATTATAGACCCATTAACTTAATTGGATGTGTGTATAAACTGTTAGCAAAGGTGTTGGCTAATAGACTTAAATCTGTGCTACCGGGGATTATTAGTGAAAATCAATCTACTTTTTGGGGAGGGCGTCAGTTAGTGGATGGGGTTTTGGTGTTGAATGAAGTGGTTGAGGAAGTAAAGAGAAAGAAACAACAGGCTTTTGTTTTTAAAGCGGATTTTGCGAAGGCATATGACTGTGTGAATTGGTCATTCTTGGAATGGATGATGGATAGAATGGGTTTTGGAACCAAGTGGAGAAGTTGGATCATGGAATGCTTATCATCTTCTAGAATTTCAGTTCTAATTAATGGCAGCCCGACGGAGGAGTTCAAGGTTGAAAAAGGATTACGACAAGGTGATTCGTTATCTCCGTTTTTATTCTTAATGATTGGGGAGGGGTTAAATGGATTGATGCAAAAAGCAGTGACAAAGGGGCTATTTTGAGGTGTAGAAATTGGCAGGAGGGGGTTAGAGAGTTCTTTACTCCAATTCGCAGATGACACAATTATTATGGGAAAAACTGACACAAAAAATGTATTTATGGTTAAAACAATCCTGCGATGGTTCGAACTGATGTCTGGTTTACGAATTACTTTCAATAAGAGCAGCATTTATGGATACAATGTGCCAGTAAGTTGGGTAGAAGGATCAGCCGACATGCTACGTTGTGGTGTTGGGAAATCTCCTTTCATTTATTTGGGATTGCCTGTTGATGGAAATTCGGGGAGAAAGAAGTTATGGGAGCCACTGATAAATAAATTCCGAGCCAAAGTCGCCGTCTGGAAAGCTGCTTCGCTATCCTTTGGTGGCCGCCTCACTCTGCTCAACTCGGTACTTTCTGCTTTACCTATTTTTTATATGTCACTGTTTTTAATTCCAAATGTTGTGCTTGCTGAATTGATTAGTATACAGAGAACCTTTTTATGGGGAGGGGTTGAGTCACAAAAAAAGATCTCTTGGGTGAAATGGGAATATGTATGCTGTAGTAAAATAAAAGGGGGATTGGGGGTGTCAGACTTACGTAGGAAAAATTGGGCTATCTTAGGAAAGTGGTGGTCTAGGTTTGGGGATGGTGTAGAGAGCTTATGGAAACGAATAGTTAAGGAGAAATATTATGGGGGCAAGTGGGAGGAGGTGGACATTTCAACAATTGGGAACCAGAGGATGTCTAAAATATGGAGGGATATTATTAAGATAGAGGGGAGATCTATGAAGCTTAGAAATATGTTGGTGGAGGGGTTTAAATGGGAAGTAGGGGAAGGGAATCGAGTGAGCTTTTGGAGTGAACCATGGGTAGGGAATAAAACTTTAAGGGTTTTATATCCAAGATTGTATGAATTTTCTACGAACAAGGAGTGTAAGATTAGTGATATGGGGGTATGGGAGGGAGACAAATGGCGCTGGAAAATGGAGTGGAGGAGAGATAGAATAGGGAGAGAAAAGGATGAGGAGGAGAAATTAAGGGAAGGATTGGAGAGGCTACAATTAAAGAAGAGAGTGGAAGATGGTTGGAGGTGGACTCATGATCCGAAGGGCAGATACGGGGTGAAGAAAGCTTACGATTTTTTAGCCCCAACAGAGTGTGTCCTAGACGAGCAGTGGAGGAAGTTAATATGGTGTAAATTAGTACCCTCTAAAGTGTCTTTCTTTGGGTGGAGATTGTGCCTTGATAGGCTTCCAACTCAATGGAATATTAGGAAGCGAGGAGTACCTCTGCAGGAAGAGGAATTAAAATGTGTTTTGTGTAAGGACAAGGTGGAGGAAGTTAATCACTTGTTTAGTATGTGTAAGGAAGTATGGATTTTTTGGGTAGAGGTGCTGCAGTGGTGGGGCATGGTGACTGTTATGCCTAATAACGCACTAAGTGTGGCAAACATTTTTGTAAATGATTTGGGTAGGTTAATAGGGAAGGAGATGGGTGCTTGTATCTTCCTTGTGGCTGCATGGTATTTATGGTATTGGAGAAATGGTGAGGTGTTTAACAATGGAAATAACATTAGAGGAAGATTAATGGAGATGGTCCAAGCCAAATCATTTTTCTGGATTAAGAATAAGATTCATGGGTGTGTCTTTTCATTCCATGAATGGAAGGTAAAACCAGTTGAATGTGCTCTATCAGTGAGAAAATATAAACAAATGCAGAAATTGTTCCATAAACAGCAGAAAGGAATGGGTACAGCTTAAAGTCTGGAGAGGAATGCTATACTTCAACATGGCAGAAATCTAAAGCCGCACCGAGTGATGAATCAGGGGGAACTATGAGGACCGATTGGGTTTAGCGTGCTGTGCTCCTGATATTGGCATTCATTGTTGGAGGCGTCTAATGAGCTACTGCAACAGATTTCTCTCGGCAATGCTAAATGGGATTTCTAATGGCATAGTATTTTGTCTTCTTTATGGATGTTTTTCTGGTCTTTTGATACTTAGTTTGTTTGTTTCCTGATAGTTGGGGTTGTGTTGGTTTACTCTCCTTTCATTTTTGTAATTGGGCAGGAGTACCCTTGTACTCCAATTAATAAATTTCATTTTGCTGATAAAAAACAATCATGGAGAGCGCAATACAGTGAGCTGTGTTGTTTGGTTTACGTAAAAAATGAAAGTCCTTTTAATTTCGGAGTTATTTTAAACCCCAAATGTCATCATTTCAATGAGCTCAGCATTCCTCCACCCCCTAAAAGTAATTTATAATGAATTAGGAATCCAATTGATTAAGCATGAAGCAGTCCATCTACACCAAATCTTGTAGGTTAGATGGTGTGCACCTAATGTTTTGCTTGGTATTAAAGTTTAAATCGTGATAATATTGTGTAAATATTTCTTTCTCTTAGTTACAAATTATACCCGTTTAAAAAAAAAGAAAAACATGTAGCAGCCCATCTGGATTGGTTTAAGGCTACCTAATATTTCCCATCAACTTTATTATAAATATATATATATATATATATTTCCCATCGTTACAAATTATACCCGTTTAAAAAAAAAAAAAAACATGTAGCAGCCCATCTGGATTGGTTTAAGGCTACCTAATATTTCCCATCAACTTTATTATAAATATATATATATTTCCCATCAACTTTTAAAAAATATATATTTATTCCATGAACATGGAACATGTGGGCGAAATTCTAGTATATCACCGGGTATACTAGTTGACATGATATGTCAAACGAATCAAATATTGGTAACTTATTAAAATTGCCCACTTCATCGTTTCATTACATTTATTAAATAGTTAGTTATAGTATTTGAAAATATTATTATGTATATTGATTTTAATATGTTAAGTAATAAATATTAATTATTTTATTATTAATTAGCAAACAATTATAGTTATTAATTATTTTGAATTGCTAAATCAAATAAAATCAATAATTTAAAAGACAAAATTTAAAAGTTGTATGAACTTAATAATTAATTGTGTGACTATAACCATACCCTATAAATAGGGATGAAGGATGAATTAAGTTTGAATATCTTTACATTAATTTAAATAAAAATTTATAACAAGAAATCGGGAACATTACCCAATATAATTTGATGGACAATGATTGACATATCTTACGATTCAATACACTTCATAACATAATCATTAAGAAATTATCACTCTTAAATTTGAATCAAAGGCAGAAAAATTAGAAGTTATAGATTTTAATGACTGAATCAATAAATATCATGAAAGGTGTTGAATTGAATAATGTACCAATTATTTTCCTAGTTCAATATATGGTAGGCACACCATAGTCTTAACAAAACTAATACATATATTCGTACCAAAATGACAAGCAGCTTAGCCTAAAATTACATTGTTCTTAATGTGGAATCACATCCTCCTATTGGCCATTCTTACTATTCTACCTACCAAGGCTGGAATGTGGAATCACATTGATCTTCCTATTGGCCATTCTTATTGTTCTACCAAAGTTGGAATGAAAACTTGAGACTTCCAACCATTCTACTACAGCTGGAATTAACAACTAATGTGGAGTTACATCTTCCTATTGACCATTTCTAACCAAAGCTAGAATTGACACTTGATTGCACCTGAGTCCTTTAAACTATCCCAATCTCATTATTTCAATGAGCAATGTGTATTTCTCCTAAAGTTATTTAGGTTGATTTATAATATATGATTATTTAAGCATAAAGCAAGCTTTGTATTGGTTTGGGGCTCCCTAATCACAATACTTTTACTTAATTTATTGCTACAATGATATCTTTATATTAGATGATGGATTATAAAATAAATAATAGCTCTCCATTTCCATAATCCCTCCTCAATCATATTAAGATTTAAATTCAAAATCTCCGATTTGAAGTTTCAAACTCTTAACCACTTGAAACTTCTAACTATTCTATCATAGCCAAAATTAACACCTAATGTGGAGTCACATTTTCCTATTGGCCATTCCTATTTGCCAAAGCTTGAATTCACAATTGATTACACGTGAAGTTCGTTTTTGAGTCCTTTTAAATTGTCCTGATGTAATTATTTCAACAAGCACTGTATATTTCCCTAAAGTTATTTAGGTTGATTTAAAAGATAAGACTATTTAAGCATAATGGAGGCTTTGCATTGGTTTAGGGCTTCCTAATCACAAGACTTTTATGTAATTTATTCCTTCAACATGAATCATGTGGATTGACTAGACATAGTTGCAACTTATCATTGATTCAATCCTCTTCATTTTTTGCTTTATTATATTAGAAAAATGCATTCTATCCCTTCTCTTGTCCCGCCTATATATAGTATAGCTCACTTGAACAGACCACTTGGATATTAAGAACAAATAAAGATGGATCTAACCAATCATGGAGAGCAATACAGTGAGCTGCTACAAGCTCAGGTTCATGCATGGAACCACATTCTCAATTTCATAAACTCCATGTCTCTAAAATGTGCCATTG